TCCAAAGAAGCATACTCATCAGCGAATACTTCACGTTGAATCATTCTCAGCACCGTATGTTCAGCTTCCCGGAGCTCTTCGCTGCTCAGAATCTCAGGATTCGGAAGTGGCAGCTTGTTCTTCTTCCTCAAGCAGATGTCTCGGAATCGCCGCACGTACCCTACAGTCCTAAGCAATCTTTCCCATTTCGAGAATCGGTCAAACCCAATTGTTTCACCTGCTACTGCTGTGCGATGGATGTTGACTGCCCGTATCTCCTCAGAAGTTGTACATTCCATTTCCTGTTCTGGCCACTCTAGCTCATCCTTGTAAAGGGATTCCGGGCCTCTGAGCCACCTACTATTTACGGTAGCATTCGGGCCGTTTCCCCACTTCGTGGCTTCGTCCGACACGTTCCACCTTGTAGGCACCTTTCTCCATTCGGATACGTCAGTAATTTCCAGAATGTCACCGACTCTGAAGGCTACAAATTGATGAAACTTCCGTTGATCAGATCGAAGCCAAGCCAGGACAGTGTTCGAATCGCTCCTGAATATCTTCCTGTTAATTGGAATGGTGTGACTGGCAATGATGGTTTTCATCAGCCTTGCACCGATGACAGCAGCTTGCAGCTCTAGTCTCGGTACAGAGAGTTGTTTGAGAGAGTTGTGCAACCTTGGTTTTGGACGCTACCAGACAGCAGCGGATAGTTCCACGATCTACGATCCGGAAGTAGGCAGCTGCCGCATAGGCAGATCGACTTGCATCCACAAAAACGTGTAGTTCCAGAGTCTCGAAGGCTTCTGGACCATATCCCGGGAAATAGCAGCGTTCTATTCGCACATGTCTCAGATCTTGGAGTGCTAGAACCCACCGTTGCCACAATGGGAAGATTTCCCCTGGAATTTGTTCATCCCATCCTATACCCGATCTCCACACATCTTGCACCAACACTTTGCCGTGGATCACGAAGTTTGCCACCAGCCCAAGTGGGTCGAATACGCTCATGACTAGGCTGAGAAGTTCCCTTTTGGTAGGATAGGATATTCCATTCAACAACTTCTCGAGGTCGCTTCGAAAGTGTATCGCAAAGGAAAATAAGTCTTCTTGGAATAACCAGATCATGCCCAAAACTCGTTCTGAGCCGCTACCTTTCCCCACCACAAAGTTTTTCGTCGATTCGGTTGGTTCTTCACCAATCTTTTTGAGTACTTCTGCAGAACTAGACAGCCAATGTCGAAGTTCGAATCCTCCGCGTTCATGTACAGTTTTTACCTCCTTTGCCAGTTGTACTGCTTCTTCTCTTGTGTCAACGCTATCCAAATAGTCGTCGACATAATGGTTTTCCACTACTGCGGCTGCAGCCCTGGGAAACTCCGACGACTGCTCACTAGCGTTTAAATTCTTCACGAACTGGGCAGAACTTGGTGAACAGGTTGACCCAAAAATGGCCACATCCATCACGAAGACTTGCACCGGTTCCAAGGGGTAGTTTCGCCAGAGAAACCGCAGTGCTTGGCGATCTTCGGGCCTAATGAACACCTGGTGGAACATCTCCTTTATGTCAGCGTTGATGGCTACCTCCTTTTGTCGAAATCGGCACAAAACGGTTGGAAGCGACTGAAGCAGATCCGGACCTTTAAGAAGAACGGAATTCAGGGAAACACCGTTCACCGTTGCTGCGGCGTCCCACACTACACGAACCTTCTCTGGCTTTTTGGGATTCGTCACTACTCCCAGTGGCAGATACCAAACCTGGCTTGGATCGGTCTTCTTTAGCTCCTGTTCCGTGGCTCTATGAGCGTAGCCTTTGGCTATGTAATCAGCCATCTGGTCCCGCACCTTCTCGTACAGCCTTGGATCCTTCGATAACCGCTTTTCCAGGCACTGCAACCTTCTTTCCGCCATAGGCCTGCTGTCAGGAAATTTCACCTTGTTCTGCTTCCACAACAGGCCTGTTTGGAACTTTCCTGAATTTGTACGCACTGTAGTGGCTTCCATCAACTCACGAGCTCGTTTTTCACTGGTTGACTCGACTATTTGGTTTGCACCAACGCCTGCACCTTCAAACGTGAAGAAGCTTTTCACCATCTCGTGAAGCTCGTCATTCGTTGGACGATTGTAGACGTGCATAACTCGGTGGGATAAAGTAACATTCCCATCTCCTGATCTCCCATACAGCGTCCAGCCTAGACGAATCTTCGCCGCGACCGGTGCATCCGCTTTACCTTCCCTAAGTTTGAGAGGCGTCTTCAGTTTGGTGTTATCCAGACCGATCAGTAGCCCTGGTACAGCATCATCGTAACTTGTAACAGGAAGCTCTTTCAAATGAGGAAATTTGGCCTGCAGTTCATTGAAGTCAACGGTTTGATGAGGTAAGTCCAAGCTGGATACTGTGTGTACCCCAGTCAATGAGAAGCGCTTGTTAGGGTTTGTTTCCGGAAATCTCCACTTGCACTCGTCGGGAATCTTCCTCGGTACGCTTTACACCGTTGGTCCACTGCATGCACAGCGGAAACACCGGTCCCGTGACACCAAGCTCCTTAGCTATAGAATTCTCCAGCAACGTTGAATCTGATCCCCCATCGAGAAAGGCGAACGTGTTAACTGTTTTTCCGTTAGCGTGAAGTGAAACCGGAATGATGCGGAACAGTATCCTCTGATGTTGATGTTGATGAACCGTCACTACGCCTTTGCTTGTTGTTGTAGCTGACCTTCTGAAATTTTCTCCATCTAGTGGATTCCCCGGATGTAGGAACCTGTGATGATGTTCTTGGCAACCTTCAGTTCCGCATACTGGAGCCTTGCACGGCCATTTACCGTGCGGATATAAGCACCGTTTGCATAAATGTGCTTCCTGAACTGCCTTCCAACGATCATCGAATTTCTTCGCCTTGAAGGTGGGACATTCCTTAGGCTTATGTCCAGGGGTTTGACATACTGCACACGGCCGTACGTTAGAAAACGTTGGTGCTTGAGATTCACCCAGTTTGTCATCATTGTTGTTGTTTTTCTCGGAGCTTTCTGGGTTGGTCTTGGAGCGAACCGAATTCACAAACGCCTTTCCTTTCTGTCGATCTAGTTTCGTGCATTCCGAAAATCCACTGCTCACACTGCTAGCGGCGTTGATGATGGTGTTCATGTAGTCAGCAAAGGCGCGTAAATCCTCTACCAATACAGATTGCTTGTGCATTGCCCATCCCAATTTGATATTGGCTGGCAACTTCTCCACAAGCTCTTGGAGAAGTATAGGATTAGCCAAATGCATCTCTTGTCCAGCTGACACCAAATGAGCACAAAGGTTGCGAACTACCAATCCGAAATTTACTAGAGTCTCTAGCTTTTCCGGTTTCGGTGTAGGAGTGCTGCGAACTTCATTGAGCAGCATACCAATGATAGCATCTGGTCGGCCATACAACATACGAAGGGTTGATACAATCTCGCCAACGTTCGATGGATGTAACAAAAAACTGCTAACCGCTTTTCTTGCATCGCCTTTCAGACAGCGCTGCAGTCTCAAAAGATTTTCGGCATCCGCGTATCCACACATTTACGTCGAGGTTTCGAAATTACTCCAGAATAATGGCCACTCCACAGGGCTTCCCTCAAACGATGGAAGATCCTTCGGAACCACATGACGTGCAGCTAATTGGTGGGCGTTTGGTCCTCTGAATGTATCTTGAGGAGGTGGATGATCCGTGTTAGGGAGGTTAGTTACTCTGGAATTGTTCACCGCCATTTGAGTACCCGTTGGAACTTGTTGCGAATAAGACATGGCAGGCTGATTAAATTCGTGACCCATGTACCCAGAATTTCTATTCTGTCCCCAATTCCCATCCGAATATGACACAGGCAAAGGATTTGAATAATTGGCTTGCTGTGTCACAGACAATGGCGGTATATAATGGTTAACGGAGACCCAAGGATTTTGTACAACATTTTGATTTGCTTCTCGCAGGTCATGCACGTAACATCGATTACTCACCGCCGTCGTTGGGGGAGTATACTGACCCACTACATGATTGACCGCCACGTTTTGAACTTGAATTTGATTCGGAGTTTCTACCGCAGTTTAGCACCTTGTACATCATTTTTGCTAAGCACAACAAAAACAACCATAAACAAACAAGAATATCTGTCGCTTAGAGTACGCCGTGGACCCTGTTTTCCAACTTTACTTTCACAAATATATACAATTAACAACGCCATTGACGTCAACATTGATTCCGGCATCACTGCCAGTCAGATTGATGTGATCCCTCTGTCCTTTTTATTCCACGATTGCTACTGTCAAATCGACCAACTCGGATTTGACAGCAAATTGGCTCGAAATCGCTACTCGATTGTCAAGTCCTGTCCCAGCTAAAAATGAGAGACGCTTTTCTATGCGATCGCACTGTTTACTGCGATCGCCCCTTCTGCTAAACTATCGTCACAGAGAACAGACGTTGAAGCTCGAACGAAATTTCTGTAAAAACTTGTGTAAAGATTCCTATGCGACTTAAGCGCCACCAACGCCGACTTCCCCACTTAAAATCCCTCTTTGACAACATGATGGCGCTGGCGTTCCACTAAGACACTAAGCGCCGAGTGGTAATTTTCAACCGAAATTGGTCGAAAGTGGAACATTTATAGAGGAAATCAGGAGATGCTAGCGCTACGTAACGGCGACGTTCCCACTTATCTTTACACAAGTTTTTGGTGGAAGTTTGACGTCTGTTCTCAGGAAGTGCTTCCAGGACCAAAATTTTACAAGGCGAAGGCTCGAGGAGACATCTGTTCTCTGTGCTAATAATCCACTGATCCACCTTCTATGGTAGAAAAAGCTCATACGGTGCGTTTTGCACCGGCATCCCCTCGATATAGCTCCAGCAGAAGACCAACTCGTGTCGAAGCAACCACTTCAGAAGAGCGGCCTATTGTTATCTGCAAATCCCAAGTCAAATACGGCCAGCAAACGATGAATCCCATACTTATACCGTTGCCGGAACCAACAGTAGCACATTTCACTTCACAAATCGCACACTTGAAAATGTTACTCGTCGCGGTAGCTTTAGTGCTCACTCAGCTATCCGTTGAGGCTTCAAACTGCACGCTGCAGTTCGAAGCAGTCAATGTAGCTGCTAAACTTGACCTGACCAGCGGAGAACTGATCGTGGAACGTGATGGCAAACCGGTTCAGAAGGTTCTCATGGGTCGGGACCTACGCACGGTTGCCATCTACGAACAACTGGATCGTGGGTTCAAACTGCGCAACACCGACGGAGAAGAAACTGAATTTACCATCGATCTGGACGCAGCGAATCTTTCACTGTTCACCGTGGCTCGACGGGTCCGACATCGATCTCGGATGGTGGTGGATTGTGTCCAACTCGGGGAAGCCAACTGGTTCGGAGGACCGATGCAATTGATGCAGTATTGGCCGGTTCAGAAGCTACGCTTTGAAGAGTACGCTTACATGATTAAAGCGGAGGATAACTGTGCGATTGCGGAGCGGTACTGGTTGAACTCGCTGGGATCGTTCATCTACGTAGAGGACGAAGCTCCGCTGTTTATCGATCAGAACTACGGGCAGCCGGGTTTCCTGTGTTTGGAGGTGAAAAAGGCCCTTCCGTACGACATCCATGACACTGTATACTCGTTTATCTATCGGATTGGGGTCAGTAGTGATGCACGGCAAGCACATATGGGTGCCATCCGAAATATTCTGGGGAAGCCTTCCGGTCATCCGGCGGAAGCTATGGTCAAATATACGACTTGGTCAACTTGGGCGCGTCTTAAAACGAACGTCAGTGACAACGTTTTGTACCACTTAACTGAGGAAATTTACCGGAACGGTTGGAGGAATAGTCAGATTGAAATCGATGACGATTGGGAGAAGTGCTACGGATCACTGGAGTTCGACAGCGTCAAGTTTCCTCGAGCGAAACACACAATGAGTGTTCTGAAGTTGAAAGGTTTTCCCAGGGTCACTCTGTGGGTTCACCCGTTCATCAACAAAGACTGTGAGCCGATTTACTCTGAAGCGAAGCAGAAGGGTTTTCTAGTTGCCAATCATAGTGGACAAACGGAGTCGCATTGGTGGAACAGCGAGCCGGATGGGTCCACGCATTTGGATTTCACGCAACCGGAAGTGGCGGAATGGTTCACGCAACGGTTGCAAGCCATTCGTACTGAACTGGGAATCGATGGCTTCAAGTATGACGGAGGTGAACCCAATTGGATGCCACCGGATCCCGTACTAAATGGGTCCCGGTCCAAGCATCCGTGGTTGATTGCCGATGGCTACCTTCGGACGGTGGCTAAATTTGGGAACTTGGTGGAAGTTCGATCGGCCCGGAGAACTCAGGATCTACCGGTTTTCGTGCGGATGAACGGCAAGTTCTCCGAGTGGGGATGGCACAATGGACTTGCGACCTTGATTCCCACACTGTTGATGATGAACATGGTCGGCTATCCGTTGGTTCTTCCGGATACGGTTGGTGGCAATGGCTACTTTGGCCAACTACCGAGCAAGGAGATGTTCATACGGTGGCTGCAAGCCACCGTATTCATGCCGAGCATTGAGCTTTCGTTCGTTCCGTGGGATTACGATGCGGAGACGGTGCGAATTTCGAAGAGGATGACCGATCTGCACGAAAAGTATGCCGCCAAAATCATGGAGCGCTTCAAGCTGGTAGTGTCCGAGGGGTATCCGGTGAATCCTCCAATTTGGTGGGTCTCGCCGGATGACACGGAAGCTCAGAAGGTGTACGACCGTAAGTCTTTGTGAGATACTCTGTGTTGGGTGATTTATTCGATAACGTTTGATTGCAGAATTCATGCTGGGAGACGACATCATAGCCGCGCCGGTTGTTCAAAACAACGTCCGGGCCAGGGATGTCTATCTGCCGGACGGGGAGTGGGTGGATGGCAACATTGCCACCGTTTACATCGGACCGAGATGGGTTCGGAACTATTCGGCTCCACTGCACGTTCTTCCGTATTTTCTCCGGAAAGGGGTGAAATTCTATTGAAAGTACATAAATAGAACTACTTACAGCATCGATCATAGTTATCCGGGAGTTATGTCACAATCCATTGAATGTTTAAGAGGAAGCCTTAGTGTGAAACTTCAAAACCACAAATGTCGCCGGATTAGCTAAGATAGAGCTTAACACTCAAATTCAACGCGATACTCTTAATACCGTTACAACCCAAGACATCCACTGGATTTCGAAGCTAGAGAAATTACCTACAATGACCACAATGGAGGTACCTACCTATCGTCAGTGTGTATTCTCATCCGCCTAATTCTAATTTACAATAACATTCGGGAACGGGTTCTGCTTCGAAACGACCAGCTTATTGTGCTGATGGCTAATGTAGCCCTTAATCCTTCCCTCGTAGATCAAATTGGCCACAATGCAGTGCGTCTCGTCCATCGTCAACTCTTCCTCTCCGACCCACTGCAGGGCCGTCAAAAATGCATTCAAATCGATCTGATGCGTCTGCAGAATCAAATACACCTTCTTGAAAAGGTTTCGGTAGGCGAGAATCTTCAACTTCTCCACAATGAGGTAGATTCCGGCGTTGATGAAGAATGCTTCGTGTTTCTGGATGACTTCGTCGAATCGGCGGACGTTGCCCTCCTTCAAGGCTACGGTCAGATCGTGAAACTGCAGGACATTGTACCGTTCCAGCACCTCCTTCCGAGGCATGTATCCCAGCAGCATCTTCACCGGCACCAAGTAGGTCAAAATGAGTCGCTTGTTTTTGGCAAACTTCCTCGGACAGTTCTCGAATGCAAAACTCAAATACTCGTCGGCATTTTTGTAGTCGGAATCGAACATGGCCTTCCTCCCGGCGAAGTACTTGTACGTGATCCTCTGAGCTAGACTGAAGGAGTCTTTGAAGTTTGAACTATCAATCGCCCGAATCAACGGTTTGCACAGATTGAGCTTGTTGATCCGGAAGTACACCTTGAACAGCTGGTTGACTAAATTCAGCATACCCAGTCGCTTGGTCTCCCCGTCCGTGGCCCGATTATCGGCCGCACAAGCGCGAAAGCAAGCCATCAAGCACTCGGCCGCTTTTTCCAGGATCTCCCCCGGCTTGGACGTTTTCAACTGCTCTTCACATTTGGCCGCCAGCCGGCGGAGATCGATCGAAACCGTGTACATGATCGGAAGGAACCAATTTTCGTCCTTCATGACCTGAAGCATCTTGACCACGGCTTGGATGCAGTTCGTTTGCTGTTTGTACGCTTCGCTGTAGTTGCGAGCTGGAATGGGATTTGTGCTTTGAAATTCCTCCGAAAAGAGTAGGTGCTAAAAACTACTTACGCTCCTTGGTGAGATAGAATAGGACTTTTAGGTGGCAGGAGACGACTTCATCCAGCGGGGGTTCAAGCTGCCGGTCGACGGCCGACTCCGGATATTCGACGTGCAGCGTCGAGTTGTTGACATGATGATCGGACAGAGACAGTAACCTTGCCAAGGCTTGACCCTCTCCGGCGTTCCAAACGCGCTGCACCGAGTTTAGGTAGTGGTAAAGGTTCATTTTCCTTTGCTTTCCACACTGAACGGTTCGCTTTGTGACCGTGGGGATGAGTATGAAATGGAATACTATGGACGGGCATGATCCAATTAGTGGCCTGTGTACCGCGGTAAAGAGGCTTTATGCTTACCTAAGCCGATTGTTTCCGTTCAGAACATCACTTCTGGTGGGTTTAAATGCTTAAAAAGGAGTTTAAAAGTTACATTCAACTGGAGCGAGTTCAACGCGTCGAGAGACAAACAACATTTTGACAGATCTGAGGTCGCGTTTTTGCCGGCGACGGCGCAGTCAGTGAGAGGATAAATTCACCACGAAGAGTGCTGCTGGGTGGTGAATATGACGGTGTTGAGAGGGTTTCAGATGAGAGTGAGAGCACGCGAGGTGCGTGGCTTGTCAGTTCTGGTGCGACATCTGTGTTTCGGGTTGGGCTGTTAAGTAAATGGGAACTCACAGGTCATTGCATCCTAAATAAGGCACGGTGGATCGGATCAAAGTAAAATTTTCTCATAAGTTTTAAGAAACGCATGATTGTCTACCAATCATTTAAAGAATCATACAGCAATGATAATAATGATACATGATCTAAAGCTTAACTGTCTTTTTCTTCTTCTTCCACTTTCCAGACATACAGGAGTTCTATGAACTCACCCTTTTGGACGACTCAAAATCCGTTCAGCAAAAAACAGCCGAAACTCTGCTCATTGCCAGCAAATGGGAACAGGACAATGCAGCCAAGGCAAACGAGGTGATTATCAGCATTATTGGCATAACCCATGTGATTTTGAATTTATATTGTTTATTTTTTTATTATAGTTGTTAGTTCATTTAACCATCCCTTATGACCCATCCGCCTAAATTTTCCATAAACGCTTTCACGTGTGTGTACCAATGTTCTTCCCTTTGTTGTATTGTGTATTTTAGAATGGTAACACCACCACAGCCACTACCACCACCGCCATCACCACCACTACCACTACCAATCATTTCCCAGTTCCATCGATAGCCAATGGCAACAAAAAGCAACAGTCACAGCCGAACCACAATATCAACATCGGCCAACAGCTACAGCAACTGCACCAAGAACTGCTCGAGAACCAGGTAGGGAAGGTCGAACATTATTGGCATCTAATAGTTTCCCTAAAAAGAAAAACAGCAAACATGCTGGCTGATTCAATAAAAATATGCTGCCCTTGCATATTTTCATTTTGCTGCCATGCCTTTAGCTGTAGATTTTATATCACATGTTGGATAGAGGGTATTTGCCATGGGGCAAATTACGATTTACCATTTTCAGATTTGAGGTAGTTATTTAGATTAATTAGTCATTTTTTTTGTTTTCCTACATTGTAAACCCATTCAACTTCTGATACATACACACACAAGTGTTAAGCAAAAGTTGGTATAAGTTTTCTGCAATGCTCATCATGAAAAAAATATCAGTAACTATACACTTAGTTTTGTTTTCTCCATCTCGGCAACTTTTGTGCCGAGATTTGCACAAAGCAGTTCCACACCAACTGACGAGTCGATTTTATTTTTCCCTCTCAGAATTCCATGAAACTTCGCATAATTGTTCATTGTATGAAGCAATGATCCAAGTTTGTCCAGAATTCGACCCTTTTCCTGAAATGTACACAATGACACTTCAAAATTGACCAAAATCGTAGAACATCAACTATTAGTGAAAAAATTGAACTTATTCTTTTCAGTGGGTATTTTTTTCTGAAAAGGCATTCCGGTTTTGATTAGATAAGCCGATTTCATGCTATGATTTATTGAAAAATATCTATTATACACCACTTTTAAAACATAGGCGTGAGTCAAAATGGCCGAACTCCGGACAAACTTAAATCATTGCCCCGTGAACAATTATGGCGAAGTTTCATGAAAATTTGAGAGGCAAAATATAAACGGAACAGCTGTTCAGTGTCACAACTGCTCATAGTTAACTACTCGACGAGTTTTACCGTGATCTCAGCAAAAATATTTACTTTATTGCTGAGATAAAGCGAAACATTATTCGAGGCTCAGCAAAACTCGGAATGATTTACTATAATTCAGTTTAGAAAACCATGTGCGCATCTACAAAGTAATCAATTGAAATGGAAATTGTTCCCTATGAACGAAATTTGGCATTAGATTCTCATAAACTTGCACTCACTATTGAACTTTCTTTTGGTTCAAATTAAACTGTCACCACTTACAAATCGTTCATAAACGAAACATAAAGACATATATTAATTTATGTTTTTAAAATATTTTATTCTGCGGAAACCTTGAAATAACTCGGATTATTCTATGTTCACAAAGGCTGTGTCCGTATCGGTGAATTGCCGCAAAAACTGCTGCCAGATGTCGCTGCTGAGAAATGATGATGACTGTAGAAAGGTACGCAGAAATACTTGACATTTAGCATTGAAATACAATTTTCGTAAGACACGCACAGATTTAGTTCGAAACAACCATTTAAACACGTAAGAAAGCTCTTGTCCAGGCAAACTGGCATTCTAAATCGATTTTACAGGGTCATTTTCAATCGAAATTCTCATTTTATTGCATGATACTATCAATCGTAGGCAGATGTAAACAAAAGAGCGATTCGTAGAGCGTTTCCTGGAAAAAAAACGCAATCAAGTGTAAATGCAAATGGATAAATTGCATTTTAGATAAATTTTCAATCAATGTACATGGATTTATAAATGTTCACTAATGGGAGGTGATTTTGGAAGTTTTTCACATATTGTTGCACTTTGCAACCATCCATCCCTTCACAGCGCCAACTAAGATTAATCACAGAGAACAGACGTTGAGGCTCGAACTATTCGACTTAAGCACCACCAACGCCAACTTCCCCACTCAAAAACCCTCTTTGACAACATGATGGCGCTGGCGTTGCACAACTTACACTAGAAACTAAGTGCTGGTAGCGCTGAGTGGTAATTTCCAACCAAAAATGTATCGATACTAGCGCCAAATTGACTGAAAATGGAAAATATATAGAGGGCATTAGGAGGAAATTGCTAGCGCTACGTAACGGCGTTTAACGTAACTTATCTTTACACAAGTTTCTGGTGGAAGTTGGACATCTGTTCTCTGTTGTAGAAAGCTGCAACAACGATCTTAGCACAGACAAACAGACGTAACTCTTTGAAAAACTTGTTCTTGAAAACATAGTATCTCAAAACATATAACCTCAGTAGCGACATCTATCTGGCTTCTCGCGGAAAACAAGCTTGCTCGCTAACTCGTAAACAATATTGCATGAAATTTCTATAGAATATATAGAAACGTCAAAGTGATCCGATGCCAGCGCTGCGGCGAGTAGTTCGCGGAACTGATAATATTCAAATCAACCGTTAAATGCATGAACACAATGAAGAGTTACGTCTGTTTGTCTGTGATCTTAGCGAATTCATTCCTTTGTACTGCCGGTATCCTTATTATCGAAGACAACAAATCAAGCAACGCATAGAAAAATGAGCAAATACACAAACCCTTCTTCTGAGGATGTAATCTTTGCTATCAAGTTTGTTCGAAGCATTTACCTTTGAGCGGCAGATGACGCGATTGTACCTGTCTCATAGCGTTTGTATGAGAAAATGGAAGAGTTGCCAGTCTTCTTGATTTGTTGTCTTCGTTATTATCCTCTCGGGTTTCGACAAGCAAACGCCTCGGCAAACGCGAGGTGCTTGTTGTTTATAAATTACAAAAAAATGATTCAATGGTTTTATCTTTGATGCAATCTTCTTAACTTATGAATCTCGTGGATTGTGTCCCGAATCAATTTTTTGTACACGGCGAATGAGAACGACCCAAATTGGAGTTTAGTTCACTCATAATCGCCAAAAGTGCAGGAACTCAGCGATGAGTAAATTTGAAACATGTTTTCCCAGGTTTTTCCGAGGGGGGCGACACATCTAAATCTCAAGTTTAGATGCTCTAGAAATCTCACACTAGCGAATCAATCTTCGAAAAATCTTCTTTCATTTATCGCATCTACTTGCATCGCTCATCATCTTTTTGCAGGAAATCTTCAGAATCGTCATCAATCTTCTTTCTATCTACACAGCGTGCGCGCAGCTAGCCACAGCAAAACACAATCTTTTTTGCATCGTAGATAGAGTCGTCCCCCTCGGGTTTTTCCAGGATTTTCCAGGGAAAAATTCCCGAATTTGAGAAAAGTAAAGATTGGATTCACTCAGTCTATTGGTACTACTCCGAGACTGAATAAAATTTTCGTCAATTTCCTCATTTTCCGGCAGATTTTTTAGGTTTTCCACAGGAAACCATGTTTCAAATTTACTCATCGCTGAGTTCCTGAACTTTTGGCGATTATGAGTGAACTAAACTCAAATTTGGGTCGTTCTCATTCGCCGTGTATAGATATATCGGAAAGGAAATGAAATGTACTTTCCTCTTCACTACTATTGCTACTACTGACGGTTGTGTTTCTAGTTTTATTTGGCTGTAGTTGCGGCATGGTGGCTTTCGATGAGTGTTGCTCCACCATGGTCGCTACGGTGGTACTGGTAGTGATGATAGCTAAAGACGCTGGCTACGACAGCTGGGTGACACAGCTGCAGCAACCAGCCTTTAGCAGCAGGAACACTTTCGTTGCATTCACCAGTGTCTCCGACATCACATCCGCCGACAGAGCTGGTAAATATAGGCCTTTTTAATACACCACCAACGTAGAGTGCGCCAGGCGAGTTCGAGAGGAAACGTCATGAGGCGTATTCTCATGAGTGTTTGATCATTGGAAGATTGCCGCAAAAGCTCAACGCAGATGTCGCCACTGCATGATGATGATAATGTTGACAGACTGCATATAAAATTCGTGAAAATTAGCATTAAATCATAATTTTCATCAAGCCTGCGTGAAATCCTTCCAATATAACATTCGAATTGAAGAAGAAAACGTTTTTACGACCAGACTGATGTGCAGCTTTGACTTTTCCAGGTGAACTTTCATAAGATATATTCATTTCATTTCACGGCTCCATCAATGCTGCATCGTAAATATGATGGTAAACAAAAGTAAATTGCTCAATTACTCAAAATAAAGATGATTTGTCATTTTGTTATCACTTTGAAGACCATCTAGCACCATTTTATAGTATGGTGCGTGTTGAGTAAATCAAGCTCCGGTGCGTTTTTCGTCAATAATTGTGAGTATCAATATGTTTGCTTAAAAAGGCCAAAATGAGCATTTATTGAATTTTGGCGTCCCATACACCCAATTCTCTATTACCACCAGCATGATACAACCTTTCCTAAGTAAATTCACTTAATTTCCACTTTCATCTTAGTGAAAATCGTACATATTAACCATTTTCTGAAAAATGCAGCTGCGCAGGAGGTAACCTCTACCTGTGGGTGCAAACTTGTTATGCATAATTTGCCATGAAAACATCTCTGATCCATACCGAAATAATAACAAATAGTTTTCAAACACGTTTTCTTACACGATTCAAGCAAAAGTTTCCACGGGAAATTATTAGTTTTTCTTTATGGACCGATTTGCCCCAAAAAGCGTCTGTTTTGCTTGGAAAATTTGGAAACTATCCTCCTTCTAGTAGTTCTCACTTCGAAGTGTAGGTGGCGAAAGCTTGGAAAAGTTTCACTGCAAGACGCCAATTGAAAAATTACAAGAAAGCTAATGATAGGTAGTTTCGTCTCGTGACAGTAAGAGAACCTGTTTTCTCATCGTCTCATCGTCATCGGCGTGATACGCCTTTTTAATAGAAACTAAGCGATCGCTTCAACCTCTGGTGGTGAATAATAGAACGTCAAAAAGAGTGCTGTGAGCAGAAATTTTTGCCGTAAGACATACGAAGCGGAACACTTGGTCACTATTCCTGATAAATTGATTCATCTGAGATGCTCCAAAACCTGATCTAAAGTTGAAAAAAAAAATAATTCTTCATCGTTTTTGGGGGGATCCTGCTGGTGTTCAGGAATATTTTTGTTGGGAAAAATGGATAATTAGAATAGTGCTTTAATGCTTATGATCTTCCGGATTTCTTGTGTGCGACTAGTTTAGATGTAAATCAGTTCAGATCTGTGGAAAATCGTTGAATACTGCAATTACCGATGGA